TAGCAACCGCAGTGTCAGTAAGATAGTCTGCACGCTCGTTCCCTTGAACACCCGTAAGAAGAAGGTTAGGGCAGATATTCGTGAAGTGCTTAGTGTTGCAATCCATTCGTGCCTGATAAATCCAGCTTGGATTTTTAATGCATATTCATCAAGTCACTAAGAAGGCATACGTGTGTGAATTTTGGAGTACCAAGCCACGCTAAAGTTCTTGTTACAGCCATAGTTTCCATTGTAAGGCTACTAGTTGTAACAGCAAAGGTGCCTTTCATCTCCTTATCGATTTTCCTTTCCCCCTTTTGCTTTCTGTGAATGCCTTCGCTTGCCGCTGATTACTGACCCATCTGTGTAAACTATAGCATCACCTTCACCTTGTATTTTCGTCAATCAGTGTTCTGACTAAAGTGTCAACAATGCCAGGAATCTGCTCTCTACAGCTTCCACCAAGTGTTATATGGACTGTAATATTACAGCATCTTCTGTACAGATCATACTATATACCAGTTGACACAAAACTGCCGCGACCCACAGGCTGAGACTTGCGAATCTACACAGATGAGTTAGTGAAACTTGGATCTAGGTCAACATGCACAAAAGATTGGGGCCGGGGGCGGGGGGGGGGGTATGAGAACAGTGGGGCTTACCAGGCAACAACGTCAAGCATGCCCATGGAGATAGCCGCTGCATCATCGCCCATTGGCTCGCCGGTAGACGACTTCGTCGCCGGTCGGGACAATATTTGGGTCTGTCTCCTTTGATCGCATCAACTTTGCAGGAGTCCTTTTCAGGGCCTTTGGTGGCGTGCGATGCTGAGCTGTTTTATATGGCATACATAATCTAGTCACAATTATAACTTAAAACTCGCTGGTTGAACAAGGCAATGGTTTTTGCCCCCAGCAAAGCACATCCGTACTTACGATCGTCGCTGCCTCTAGAGCACGAGCATGGACAGCAGAGCAAACAGCCACACACACAGCGATGGTATCAGACTACAGGAATTTTCTTCTGAAAATAGCGACAGGCAGATTGCGCTCTGAATGGGTAGAAGGCATTCGAAAATCACATTTCATCTCCTTCACCTGGATCTACACGCCTGGTCATGTTGGTGTAAAGGGCAATGAGCGAGTGGACCAAATGGCAAGCAGTATAGCAATGCATGTGGAAAGAAGCATGGGCAGAGCAGATATCATCAGCGCTGTACGGACTGGGCTAGTGGATAATGACGAACCTCTTACATTTACACAATTGCATTACATGTTAGTAAAACATGATTAAGCACGTCTAGGTCGCCATCTAGGTGAGATAGATGACGTTATAATCAACCACGCATGAACGTTGAATGTTGTTAAAAGTTGAATTAAGAATCGACATCACACCACTCGGGACACTCTCATTAGCGTTTTGTCCCCCTCTTCAGCAGCAAGCGAAGAGTTTCAGTTCCGATGGTACCAGTAACTGTTTGATTGTACTTCCGTCTTCTCTTCCCTTGAGTGTTGAGAGTCGGCCAGATAAATACCCGCAGCGCCATCCCCTCTGATTGTAATGATCTATCTGCGCCTCCGCACTATTCACTCGTTCCTACAGGAATCCAAACGACGCTAACTACCCGGGAAAATTAGCTTTTTTTCAATTGTATCGTCCAGAGAACACCACAGAACAGCGGCCTTTTCTGAGCTGATGACAGCACTCACTTCAGCACACTAGTCAGTCAGTCTACAGTTTCTTGTATTTTTTGGGTTATCCGTTGCCTATCAACCCCCTGCCTATATGCAAGAACATCATCTGCAAAGGTCCATATCCTTCCAATACCTGATGTTTCAAGTTCTGTAATCTTGCTTGTATACACATTGAAGAACATTGGTGAAATTAAAGAACCCTTGGGTGGTCCCGGGGCGATATTGCCGGATTCTGAGGTCCGTGTACCCAGGCGAAGGGCAACAATACGTGAATGCAGAACAGCTGCTATCCAGTTCACAAGCCATGGACAAACTCCCTTCTTAATGAGCTCCTTTTCTGACTCTATTGTAGACATCCTAAAGATCAGTTGCTGCCACAAGGGTCTCCTGTCTGTTCTGGAATCCCTCATAAACAAAGTTGCTGTATTTGTCTAGGTGTCTTTTCGTGGCCCGTAACTGTCCCAACATTTTGTAGTATTTGTAATTTAACAACAAAAATCTTCTTTAGCATTTTGCCAAAAGTATTTTGTAGGGTGATAATCATGAAACCGCTGAGTCTGAAAAGGTCTTTGTCTGGTTTTAGAAGTAGGATTAAGTAGTTATGTACCCAAATCCTCGGATACTGAAGCTGTTCTGATGCTCTGGTTGGAGTTAAAAGCCATCTCCCTCAAGTCTTCATCACTCATGCTCTTCACATGGGCATACCTCACTCCGTCTTGCCCCGGCGCAGTGTCTTTTGCTTTTTGCAATTTACATTTTAAATCCTTCACCCTAATGATAGCCTGAAAATAATTGACATTTATAGTATTAAACAAATCATCTCTAACTGAATTTATAAGCTCCCTATCATTATGATCAGTTTGGGCTATTCATCTCTTCAAAAATGCTTCCCCTTTCTCTTAGTCTGTAATTGGCATACTATTATCAGTGTATATAATGCCTGTTGTGATAGGCCGATCCTTCCTTTGCATCTGTCTGTGAAGTTTCCAAAACCTACCCAATGATTTGCCCCTCAAATTTCGCTCACAGAATGTTCCCATTTAGCTTTTTTTTGCATCTGCTGTGATTAGAGAAAGGATTATCAGCACCACACTCCGGAAAGATCCATTGGTGCTCCGATCTCCTCGTCAAAAGCTCCACAAGTGTGAAACGGCTGATGACGCCTGTTCTATGGTGGTTAATGAAGTGAAATGTTTATTTCTTGCAGCTCCAGGCTGCACCCCCATGTCCATCAGTCTAGACAGGGATACTGAGTCATGTCCTTTGGCGTGCTCCTCGGTACAATAAGTGCAGCGCATGGCACTGATAACGTCACTTCTGTCCAGTACTGGGCCAGCCTTAGCAACCGCAGTGTCAGCAAGATAGTCGACACGCTCGTTCCCTTGAACACCCGCATAATCTGGCACGAAGATGAAGGTTAGGGCAGATATTCGTAAAGTGCTTAGTGTTGCAATCCATTCTTGCCTGATAAATCTAGCTTGGATTTTTTTATGCAAATTCATCGAGACACTTAGAATGCATACTTATGTGAACTTTTGAGTACCAAGCCACGCCAAAGCCCTTGTTACAGCCATATTTTCCATCGTAAGGCTACTAGTTGTAACAGCAAAGGCGCCTTGGCGATTCCCCCCCCCCCTTGAGCTTACTGTGAATGCACTATGCTTGCCCCTAATTACTGACCCATCTGTGTAAACTATAGCATCACCTTCATTTGTGTTTTCGTCAACGAGTGTTCTGACTAAAGTGTCAACAATGCCAGGAATCTGCTCTCCACAGCTTCCATCAAGTGTGATATGGACTGTAATATTACAGCATCTGCTGTACACCGCTTGTACTCGACATCCTCTTGTAACCTGTGAGGTGTCTCTCGCACTTTCCGAAATAATACACATATACACATATTGCCGTCCCCATGTGGGATGCAATTTTCAGTTATTTTGAAGCTCTACCCTGGCTTTTGCCGGGTGCCCTAAATATATCCGGACCTTAAATATGGTCTAACGGCTGAACGAGGTTTCCGGGACCTCTCCACGGGTGATCCTCATCCGCATGGTGACACTTTGTGTCACCAGGTCTTTATCGCTTGTGTGATGTCCGGATGGGGTACATCTTACCTAACTACCTTTCTGTATTTGTTCAAAAGCTGCTCACTTTGTTTTCCATGCCTCTCCTGTTAACAGTTAGTTTAAGTACCTTGTAGCGGCTGCTGCATCCGAGGACCGAGCATGCATGGGAATGTTCACTGTGCAGTGACGTCTATTATGATAACATAATATATGGAAAAAAAATACAGTGCAATGAAGTCGATCCCTTCGATTTTATATGAAAAAATATTTGGGTGATAGTAATAAATCTGAAAAATAATAATTACAAAATGTGCATCAAATCCAGGTTTCTCTTCTCCATAGTGGCAACATCAACTTCCGGCAAGCTGTCTCCTGCAGTGTTTTGAAAAACTCTTGTGTTAAATATTATAAAAGCTGGATTTCTCCATATCCACAGGAGTCTAATGATTCCACTTCACTAAAAGCAGTCAGCATGAATATACGTATCTTTCGAGATTAATTGATTTGATTGTAAGTTTGGCCGAGATACTAAAATGACTCACTCCTGGAGTAAACTCGTTACTTTCCCTGTTAATGAAATTAATAAAAACAAGTTCATGCTTGCTTTCTTCTTATTCTTCAAGTGTCGTTATTTGATATTCCTAGGGATGCTGATAAAGTTTTATACATGGGGGAGGGGGTTAACTTATGAAACTATCACAGCTATATAGAGATTAAAATATCCAACCCAACAATACCCAAATAGAGCCTGTAAAATTCTAAGCGAAGCTATATTTAGGGGTGCTAAACATTTTAGTGGCGGTAACAGATAACCACCATAACAAGACATACTATAATTTATAGTGTAACCACACATCTCTTATAATGTTATATAAATAATCCATATAAATAAACATACGGGAAACTCCTGAATCCGTAGAAATATTATATATAACAAACCAATAAACACTGTATTGATTAGCACTTATAGAAAGATAGAAGGACACACTAGACAACAACATATAGTTAAACGCTGTAGTAGTATAGTTAGTAGTTACCATTCCCAAAACGGTAGTTTTTGATTGTTATGTTGTCTAGTGTGTCTTCTGTCTTTTTACTTCTTTCTATGAGTTCTGATCAGTATATTGTCTGTTTGTTTATTATATGTAATGCCATATAAATTAAATACACTTTTCCTGTCATGTATCTGTGCACACACACACTGAAACTTTTTCACATCTTCACTTTCCTTATTATCTATCTACAGCAACTTGGATAGAGAATGGCCAGCTCAAGTCATTTGATGACAGGAGGGGTGATTGGAGGAGGAGGAGGTTTTGCACCACTTTTATCTCACCTCACCATGGAGACTGAGCTGCAAAAGCTTCTGGCTGAAGAGAAAACCAGAGCTGAAGAGCATAAGATAAATTATCAGAGGCTGAAGGTTGAGTACACAAGGTTAGAATGTTTCTGTTGATAGTTTTTGTTGCAGCATCATTGCTGTAAACTCTGGCAGAAAGTTTTGGTTGTTCATCCAGGAGTAGACTTTAGTCTTGTTCCAGAACCTGAGTGTTGCTAGCACTTCAGTTTCATATATCTAACATATATGTTTGCAGACTTTTGGTTGCTTGCTTCTCAGGCAGATGCACCCCGACTTTGAAGGAAGCCCCATGTTAGCTGACTCTTACAACATGTGTTAAGGAGGCATTGGTTCATTTCCTGTTTTCCTCACAATAGAGCCCCGGAACCCACATGGAAAGTGCAGTAGTGAAGGATATCGTACTGAGTGAGAAAGGCAGGGGCTGATCAAAACCAAGATGGACACAGGACATAAGACAAAGTGGACCGGAAGGTGCATAAAATAAGAAAGCTGGTCAGGGACTAAGTTTTTTTCCGTTAGGCTTGGATGAGAGTGATGTTTTGAAAAGGATCTGCTACTAGATGAAGATGAACAGTGCTTAATGGGGAACTGTGGTGGTGCAGTCACTAGCATGCTTGTCCATGGGCTCTGTGGTCGTGTGTTCAAATTCCCAGTTAAAGTGATAATTAACCTGAGCTCCTGTGTCTGTCCCTGTTGACTGCTGCCAGTTGGCCTATACAAATATAGACAATTAGTAAAAAAGGAAAGTAAAGGGCATTTTTCATACCAGTTGTTCATTTGGGATATTGTGCTTTACCCCGATCTTTAATAGACCAATTGGCACTTGATAGGTGATATAGTCATCATCATGCTCGCTGCCTTTACTTTCCAAGACATTTCTTGGTGCCTTTTTTTGGGATGAGTCAACCTGTGAACGAAGGTCAGTTAAAAAAAAATCACCTCAGTGTGAATTCAAACTGAAGACCTTTAGAAGATAAATACTGGCTTACTTGTAGGATTTGGACATCAAAGAATTCAGGCTCGGAAACGGCATGATGTTTCAAAACGTAAAATACTGCAACTATAACCTCTGCTTGAATGTGTGACAAAGATTAAAAGCAGAAAAGGCCAAGCGAAAGCTGCATTTTAGAAAATGAAAAATATCTTATGCAATAAATCGCTGTCATTTAATGTCAGAAAGAGGGTGCTAAAATGTTACATAGAACCTGTTCTGCTGGATGGCAGCGAATCTTGGAATGTGACTGAACAAATTAAGAAGAATTTAGAAGCAACAAAGATGTAGTTTCTGAGACGAATGTTATGAATGGAGACAGTTTGGGCAAGAATTAAAGAAAGGTTAAGAAATAAAATAAGAGAAATGTCTGGTCAACCACTGGAATCAACAGTTATAAGAAAAAAGAAGATGGCAGTATATTGGACATCCCCTGAGAAGTGAGCAAAAGGAATACTGCTTTTCGTCCTTCTTAGGACGTTATTTTTTGTTATTTGAAGCCCCACTCTGGCTTTTGCCAGGGGCCGCAATATAGGCAGGTCATCATTATGGCCAAATGTCTGAACGCGGTTTCTGGGACCTCTCCACGGTGATCCTCATCCGCATGGTGGCACTTTGTGTCATCGGGTGTTTATCGCTTGTGTGATGTCCTGGTGGGGTAAAAAATCCAATCCAATCCAAGTGAGCAAATAATCACCACATAGGCACTGAAATGGGAAACAGTGGATTGTGAAAACGAGAAACCCGAATATGAACATTGATGAGAGATGAAAGGTGCTGAACTGGAGTCCATGTATGGTAGGGAAAGGATTGCACAGAATAGAATGAGATGGGGAAATTGATTCCGAGCCCTCTGTGACATGTAACGGCACAACTGGATGAGGATGTTGATGATTTGGGCCAGAAAATGCATAAGGCTAGGGAATTGGCAAGGAACCAGGTGACCTTCTGGCAGGTCATGGCAAGGAGTGATAAGTGCAACTATTCTGCTTCATGATGACGATGATTGGTTGACCCTGGAGCCATGTGACCATCAAATAATTCTTCTTGAACTATAGGATCAAGATCTGGAGAGCTTGTGCGTACCTCAAGATAAGCTCTGATCTGAAACACACTATGCACCACATGCTCTTCTGGAAAAAGGGCAATAGACTAAAAAGGGGCAAATCATGGCTGGGTAGGGCAGAGGATGACATCGAGCTGGTCTGTAGTCTTACAGACATCTATCTTGGTGAGGGATAGATATCAGTGCCTAAAGCGCTCAATCTCACATTCTTCTGTGTCGTCACACTTGAAAGGTGTTGAGTTGTCGAGGGCAGAACCCTGTCACTGTCAGTGCTGAGGTCTGTGCGCTTGTCAGTGACAAGTTAGATGAGACAGATGTGCTGATCTTTACAGATGGGTCAGTTATACGAGGACATAAGAGTGCATAGGCATTTACAGCTCGGTCTTCAGGCAGAACAGTCCCAAGAAGCCAGCAAAGCATTCTCCATGACTACCAGTAGTATGGTGATGGCGGTGACACAAGCCTTTATGTGGCTAGAATCACAGGACTATTCCTGCGTGTGTGTGCTGGTTGATTCTTTGAGCATGATTCGGCGGGCAGAGGCAGGCTCAATACGTAGACAGTGGACTGCATCATTGTAAAACTCTCCTGTGTTTGTATTTACCTTCTTATTTGTCCCAGGGTATGCAGGTGTTGTCGGTAATGACATAGCTGATACATCAATAGGTTTCGCAGTAATTGCAGATGGCCGGCCTATGGCACACAGACATTGTCAATGCCCTTAGAGAGATAGGACGTTCCAAGGATTTTGGAAACAATGTGTCCACATCTCGGCAAAGAATACGAGAACTGAGAGTAAAGATCGGCACAACCAAACATAAGAAGCCCACCGGACATACACAAAGTCTCAACCAGCATAGGACTGGCACTATTAACAGTGTGACGCTGATGAATATGTTGAAGGGGGAATAGAGCACCTATGGATGTGTCCAGAGTGCTATGAAGATAATCCAACTCATAACTCAGATAATGGGGAGTAATCTGTAAAAATGAATGTTGCAGATAATTCAACTGGCTCATGCCTCTTTGAACCTTAAGTATTTTAAGGTGACGACCTCAGAGTGGTCACCTGGTAACCTTGTGACTAATGGGGAAAAATATGGTGTCAGAATTTCTATAAATAAAGCAAACCCACTAGAAGCTATTTTTGTTAAATGTAATAATCCTTGTCTTGCTAAAAATGTGCGCACTGCAAACAGAACCAATACTATTAGCTAAGCTTCTCATAATCAAGCCATTATAGTGATCTAGGAACTGGGCTGCTATGGAGGAATGGGACCAATCCTGAAGTGTCAGGCTTCTCTGAGTGACAAGGTTAAGGGTTTGGGATTATCCTTATTTTCTTCTGTAAAAATATGGAGCTGACACTGTATGCTTGATGCGTTTCTAAACATGAAAAGGGTCCTTTACTTACTGAGCTATTCATTTGCATAGATGTTGTTGATTATCTTTATTATTATTATTATTATCTGCTAAAATGATGTATGCAAGTATTGAGGCCAGAAGGGCAGAATGTAAAACGGGTCTGTGTGCCCAATTCTGAACCCTTTGAAAATAAAGTTTGTTTGTTCGTTCATGGATAACACACCTTACTGTATTATTACTATTATACTGATTCCTGACATAAAATGTTACAGGCTTCAGGACAAAATAATGGAACTAGAGGCAGAGAATAAATCAACAATTGAAGAATCAAAAATTGTCAAGGACAAGTACCTGGCCATGTATGAAGCTTGCAAGCGGGAACTTGCTGAAAAGATTGCCGAAATTGAAGATATGAAAACACGGGCAAGTGCATGTACATGTTGTATGCTAAATAATGTATCAAATTTTGTTTAGTGTTTTCATGAATTAATAATTATGGAGGCCGTCAAACAATTTAAGGAGTTTCAGTACTAGCATAACAGCAGATCTGCCTACTGTTTAAGTGTTTGGAGTTTGGGCCATGTCTCACAGTCGTTGCATAAGCAGTCAATATAGTATATAGATCATTATGTTCCGAGGAGACTGGTGCTACTAGGAGTGACGAGGCGATCTGGACAATATTCAAGGGCAGGTGAGACATTTGCACAATCAGACTGATGCTGGTACCATCAGAATTGGAACACTGCACTTGCTGCTGAAGATGGGGATGGAGTGCTTTTGGGGATGTCCCAAGTGCTGTGATGTCGGTTCCTAATTCATAATTAAAGACATCTTTGAAAAATGATGCGCAGACTACTAATACCCTTTAATGTCAGCACACTCAAATTGATACCTGCTGTTGACATACAAGAGCTGCGTAGAACCATGATCACTCATTCCTGAGTGCCAAAAACTTGATGATGATAGTGATGTATGTTTTGTACCTTAATTTACCTACTTGAGATAACTAAAAAAAAAAAAAAATGTGGAAATAACTTTTCCCCACACTTTCAGGCTTACTGGGTTATGGTATGCTAGCCTAATCTTTGTATAGACAAATTGACAGTCAATTATGTTGGCCATCTTTACTGCCCATAACATTTCCTGTATCAGCCTAGAAGACCCAGTGAAGTATAGAAAATGCCTGCAGGGAAGGGTATTAAAACACATGACCAGCAGAGTACTAGCCAAAGCATCACAGCATTTTGACTGAGGTAAATAGCCTCATGTTGCTATACCACATGCTCTTTTGTTTGCAGATCCCGGATTGTTCATTTTTATGGTCACTGCTTCTGCCAGTTTCAGTAAACACCTATTCAGTGTGTGGTAAATAACACAGCAGACACAGTCCTTTTTTCTTACATGCCTAGTCAGGTTTCCTGTTAAATAAGTGGGTTCTTTCCTCTTGGTTGATCTTTTATCTACACACTTTCATATACTAGTGATATTATACTAATATTTCATTCTCAAGTTGGTTATACTATATTTCGTTGGTTGCAGATGATCTCTGCTTCCCGTTTAGAACTCATTAAAGGAGAAATAGCCAATGAACTAGAAAAGACATTCAAAGAAAAGTCAAAGAAGCAGGAGGCAGAAGTTGAGGAATACAGACTGGCTGTGAATAAACTACGATATGAGCTGTCATTTCTGAAGGCTGAATATGAGCATGAGCAGGAGGAGCATCGCAAGCATTTGGAGGATCTGGTTAAACATCATGACATTGAGGTGAGTTTTGTTTTTGGGGTCCTTTGAGAGTGAGGGAGTAGTAAGGAGGCACAGATAGATCATCACAGGCTGAGGAGAGTGGTGCTGCGAGGAGTGACCAGGGGATCTGGTTGATGCTGAACACTCAAGAAAAAGATGAGATTGATATATGAGGCGTGTTTTTTAAATAAGTCCCGTTTTGACCACATCAACAAACACCGAAGGAAAACGCAAATGTGCATATGTACATTATGAAAAGAAACCTTGGATACATGCACCTAAAGAAGTGGCTGGCATCCCAGCTGTTTGAAACTGGTGATAAACTGCAGACAGGCGTTAATGAATGGTTCAAGACACTGGTGGCAGACTTCTATAACGTTGGAATTAGGAACCTGGTGCCACGATACTAAAAATGTGTTGAAGTCAGTGGTGACTATGTTGAGAAATAATGTAAATGTGTGGTTCACTTTTGGCTACAAAAAATCATTTTTATATATGATGGTTTAAAAAAAAATTGTATATCGGGACTTACTTAAAAAACGCGCCTTGTACAATCAGATTGTTACTGGTGTCACTGGGATTGGAAACTCGTGCTTACTACTGAAGATTTGGACTGGGTTCTTATAATAACATCCTGAGTGCTGTGTTGTCGATTCTTAATTCAGCATTCAACATGAACGGAGTTTACAGTCACCAACTTGAAAAAACGCACATGTTTGTACAATCCTAAAGTTTTAAAAACAAATTTAGATATTCCAAATTAAATTACTGATTCATGAACTTTATATTTTATTTATAATTGTTTATAAACTTTTTTTGTTCAATTTTTTTAAAATATTTAAAATTCAAGTTTGTTAAAAAAAAAAAAAGGTCACAAAAGGTATCATCATAAAGCAAAAACATTTTTATTAAAAAAGGATTTAATAAAATATACTTTTTTTTTGTATGGCTACCTATAATATTGTTTAGCTCTTTCAGGGCAAAATTTTTTTTGGGGTTTGGACAGCATTAATTTTAAGCAGAATTGTTTTACATGACAAAGCTAAAACATTCCTGAAGAAAAAGTATTGGCTGTATGGGGACATATTATTATTAAAATTACATGACATTCCAGCATGTTAGACACATAGGAAGATTTGTACACAAAAAATGGTGTGCTTATCTTAGTTTTTACTTGTTCAGCAACACTGCTATCCCTTTCTAAGAATTCTAATTCAGTCATCTTCTTCTTCTTCGCAATCACCAGCTGTAAGCTCTGGCAGAAAGTTCTGGTTGTTCCTCCACTTCTGGACTGCAGCTATGTTCCAGAACCTGAGTGCGCCCGTTTTACAGATCTGACTCATTTGTATACAGACTGCTTGTTCCTTGCCCAACAATCAGAAACAATCCGACTTCGAAGGAAGTTCCCAACTAGTCAACTCATTCGACATGCGTTTTGGTAGGCAGTGGGTCTTTTCTTGTTTTCCCCACAATAGGGTCCTGGAACCCACACGGGGATGTTCAGTTATATATCAGCTAGTCTTTATTTGAAACAATTAATTTGAATACTTTAGATGTTATGACCATATTTGTATGACATGTCAAGATTTCAAAACTGAAACAGATAAACAGCTAATCGAAACAGAGATGAGCAGACTGAAATATTTTGTTCAGCGTCATACTAACCTGTATTATCTCCAGTAGGTTTGTCACTTGCATTATCAGTCATAATATCTAGACTGTTGTCACTATCTAGCTGAGATTCATCAACAACAGAGTAGTATGAAAGTTCTAGACATTTTCCCTTATCATTTGGTTTGGAAAAATTACATAAAAATTGTATCTTATCTGATTAATAAAAAAAAAAAAAATCTGACAGTGACACAAATGCTAAACTTAAAAAAAAAAAAGGCTTTGTTTCAATAATTCTAGTTTTTTTTAAAAATGTTCATACAAATTCATTTTCCCAGCAAGTGAAACAATATTAGAGTGTCTCTATGAAGTGCCACTATAGTGGCGAGTAGTCTGAACGGTATGGATTAAAAAGCTACTAAAGTGGTGACAAGTCTGTAAAGAGTTAGTACTATCCGCACCAAATGTCATGTTTCTACTCATCATATTAGTCAAGCTTTTGGGATTTTAGACGTACAACAAACTGCAAAATAGAAGTGTGAGAAAACTGAATTTTAAACATTTAAACTCAAATGAATTCCTCTAGGGTTTTATGTGTCTTCTATTGTCCAAAGCTGTAGCTCCTTTTATTGTCATAATAAATGCATTTTAAAGGAGATTTTCACTAAAATTTAAAGCATTAGCATGTGCATCGGGAAAGGTAAAGTCCACCAACTTTGGAAAAGACCTATGCACTGCACATGCATAGTATATTTGTTGGCAAGGAAATCTCTAATGGGGACCAATCAGATGTGGTCAAATGATAGAGCCAATGAAATATAAGTATGGTCCGTACTGTCTAAGTTTTGAATCTAGAGGCAAAGCTTGATTTTGTTTTATATATATTAATCAGAATAGGAATAGCAATTTGTTTGATACATAATATGTCGCAGTATACATAATATGTCACAGTATATTATTTAGAAACAGCAGCTGCTATGTGTTAAACATTGCTATTTTGTTGATCAAAATTTATTGTCTCTTGTAAATATTCGTGGGGTGGAGTCTTCATTAAAAACTTGTTAATGCTAAATTGCTTAAAAATGAGAACAATTGTGTGTAATTTATAGTGTGAATTTTGAACATTACAAAAATGAACAGTTTGAAAAATTGATAATTTTATCATAAATTGAAGCAAAAAAATGCAGTATAGTAACCCCTTAAGGGTAAAAAAAAAAAAAAAAAAGAGAAGGGTGGTGACAAAGGGTGGATGGAAATTAGTTAAACTATTTTTCTCCTAAGAAACGCTCTTAGTGTGTGTCAGTTATTGTTCCTGTGTATCAGTAATGCATGGCATCCTGTATCTTCTGTGCTAGGCCTGAGAATGATGAAAATATCTGGCTATATATTTTAACATGCAATTTAGTATTTTTCATGCAAGATGTGTTGCCTCTTTGGATTTGGTTTGCTCATGCTTTTTTCCAAAACAGTTGCTAACTTTTTTGGGTTTATGCGGTAAAATCCTCTGGGGCCGAAAGAGTTAAATAATGGCCATTCGCTTGAAATTTCAAAGACTGAGGTGCATGGTGCTAGTCCCACATTTATTCACACCAAATATGTGATGAAGACAATATCACATTGGGCACCTTTACTTCTTAAGAATATTTCACTATCTGATAGTCATCACAGATTTTGTGGTTAGGTGGCACTTATTTTTACAAGTATGGGAAACCATGCCTGAATTCTCTCACAGTTCACAAGTAAATGTTTTTTACAAGTATGGGAAGCCATGCCTGAATTCTTTCACAGTTCACAAGTAAATGTGTTTTACAAGTATGGGAAGCCATGCCTGAATTCTTTCACAGTTCACAAGTAAATGTTTTTTACAACTCTGGGAAACCATGCCTGAATTCTCTCACAGTTCACAAGTAAATGTGTTTTACAAGTATGGGAAACCATGCCTTAATTCTTTCACAGTTCACAAGTAAATGTTTTTTACAACTCTGGGAAACCATGCCTTAATTCTTTCACAGTTCACAAGTAAATGTTTTTACAAGTATGGGAAACCATGCCTTAATTCTTTCACAGTTCACAAGTAAATGTTTTTTACAACTCTGGGAAACCATGCCTTAATTCTTTCACAGTTCACAAGTAAATGTTTTTACAAGTATGGGAAACCATGCCTTAATTCTTTCACAGTTCACAAGTAAATGTTTTTTACAACTCTGGGAAACCATGCCTTAATTCTTTCACAGTTCACAAGTAAATGTTTTTTACAAGTATGGGAAACCATGCCTGAATTCTTTCACAGTTCACAAGTAAATGTGTTTTACAAGTATGGGAAGCCATGCCTGAATTCTTTCACAGTTCACAAGTAAATGTGTTTTACAAGTATGGGAAGCCATGCCTGAATTCTTTCACAGTTCACAAGTAAATGTGTTTTACAAGTATGGGAAGCCATGCCTGAATTCTTTCACAGTTCACAAGTAAATATTTTTACAAGTATGGGAAACCATGCCTTAATTCTTTCACAGTTCACAAGTAAATGTTTTTTACAACTCTGGGAAACCATGCCTGAATTCTTTCACAGTTCACAAGTAAATGTTTTTACAAGTATGGGAAACCATGCCTGAATTCTTTCACAGTTCACAAGTAAATGTTTTTTACAAGTGTGGGAAGCCATGCCTGAATTCTTTCACAGTTCACAAGTAAATGTTTTTTACAAGTATGGGAAACCATGCCTGAATTCTTTCACAGTTCACAAGTAAATGTGTTTTACAAGTATGGGAAGCCATGCCTGAATTCTTTCACAGTTCACAAGTAAATGTTTTTTACAACTCTGGGAAACCATGCCTTAATTCTTTCACAGTTCACAAGTAAATGTTTTTTACAAGTATGGGAAACCATGCCTGAATTCTTTCACAGTTCACAAGTAAATGTGTTTTACAAGTATGGGAAGCCATGCCTGAATTCTTTCACAGTTCACAAGTAAATGTTTTTACAAAAATACATAAATATTCCAGATGAGCAACTTGCGCCAAGACCGTGACTCAACCATTGCCAGGGTTCAGGCGGAAACAGGTCAGGATAAACAGAAAGTGATGGTACTGCAGCGGGACAATGTTCAGTTACATATACAGGTGAGATGCGACCAAAAATTTTAGTCAGTACTTAAATTTTTAAAGTGAAGGAAATAGTACTGGGAGTAGCCATTGATTGGGTGATGAAAATATGTTGCAGAGGCAATACTGGCATTGATTGAGTAAAGAAGAGACAACTATAAGATCTGGATTTTGCAGGTGATATTGTTCTGTTAAGAAAAAAATAGCGAAGACCTGCAAAGAAAAACAGAAGATTTGTTGTCTACAGCATCAAAAATAGGACTACAAATAAGTTATGAGAAAACAAATGTAATAAAATACCAACAACAGATCATGTAGATGTCATGCTTGAGAACAAATCAATCAAAGTAATGGACCATTTAACCAATTTGGGTAGCGGTTTTCACTCTCAAGGAGATGCAACACATGAAATTAGGATACACATTGGCAAAGCAACAACAGTCTTTAAAAACAATAACAAAATATGAAGCTCTAAGTTATGCAGCTCAAAGACCAAATTACGAATCTTCAATTCTAACATTATTTCAATATTAACATATGCCAGTGAAAGTTGAACTACCAAAGATGCAGAATGAAAGTTAAATGCATTTGAAAATAAATGTCTTCAGAAAAATCATGAACATAAAATGGGATGGATATTTTTAAAAAAAAGTGTGGAGATCAGAGAAATGTCTGGACAAATGCATCTATTGACTGCAGTAAGACAAGAAAGGTGGAGATATACTGGGCACACAATGAGACGAAATGAGTAAAGAATTACAAAACAAGCTCTAAAATGAGAAAGCAACAGTCTTTAAAAAAAATAAAATAGACGTCCACAAGAAACATTAAGCAGAACATTATTACGAGAAGCCAAAAAGGCTGGGCTGAACTACATGTCAGAAATCGAGAGAGTTGCATGCAGTAGAACAGAGGGGAGGACTTGAATAATATGAATTTGGCATCACATGCCTGAGGCATCACTGGTGTTAGAAGGGCCCTTTTACTGTTTCTGTTCGAAAGTAAGGTAACTCTAAAGCAGTTTCTGCCTCTGGGATGTGAAATGTTAGGCTACCACATGTTATAGGTCCCCTTGGTGTTCTGGGGATCCATTGTGAGGAAAACAAGAATAGACTTACTGCCTCCCCAACAAGCAGGTAAGAGTTGACTACACTGGGGGTTTTCTTCGAAGTCAGAGAACATTTGCCTGAGAGGCAAGGAACCAACAGTCTGCATACAAATAAGTCAGATATGTAAAATGGATGTGCACACAACAATTAGGTTCTGGAAAAAGACTAAAGTCCAGAGGTTGACGGACAACCAGAATTTTCTGCCAGAGTTTACACCCGGTGAACATGAAGAAGAAGACATGGTCTAGGTGACAACAGACAAGGTTACATGGCCTGATCCTTCCCTCATCACCTTTTCTTCACAGGTGACTGACCCCACCCCCCCCCCCCCCCCCCCCCCCCCCACCCCAAAACCCCATCCCTGAAATTCAGAAAATTGTCAGATGCTGAAATTTAGTAACGTCTGTGGCTTGGGCGTTACAAAGGCGCTTTGTTTTTCCAGATACCAGGTCCGATCCCAAATGGCAGCAGACCAGCTTGAGTTAGTTTCAAGAGTTTTATCGAGAATGGTGTGGTGTTAAATCTTTCATAATTGTGACAGGCATTTGTGTGCAGCAAATATGACTCATTGCAGTGCATTGCCAAATGTTTCAAATTTGTGATAGTCATTTGTATACAGTAAATGTGATTCATTGTGATGCAGCATTAAATGTTTTTTGTGTGTGACTGTCATTAGTGTACAGTAAGTATGAAATTTAGTCAATAGACGAAAATTATGGAAAGTAATGGTTCGATATGGAGTAAGTGAACACCTCATTGACGTTTGCGAAAGCTTAAATGGATATTGTAGACGCCTAGTTAGAATCAATCAGGGAACATTTAAACCATTCAAAGTAATATCTGGAGTAAGACAGGGATCTGTCTTATCACCACTCCTGTTAATCACCTATATTGACAGTATAAACAATGATGCCAAGCCCAGGAACGAAAATACTAGTAACATCAACGAATTACTCTTTGCTGATAACCAGGCCTTGATTGCAGATACACCAATGAATTTACAACAACATTTCACATTCATGAATGAAGAATGTAAATCAATATGCAAAAGACAGAAGTAATGTCAGTAGGAAGAAAGAAGCAGAATTTAAATATAACATTAGAGCATACCTATTTTAAACAAGCATCTAAGTTTTAATATCTTGGAACAACATTCACTGAAGATGGTAGATTGGACGATGAAATTAACATCCGATGCAGTAAAGCAGGCCAGGTATTAGGACAGCTAGCCGCCCTCTTACAGCATAACGCAATCCCAGTCAGCACAGAGAAACATCTCATACAAAGCATATTCATTCCCACCATATGCTATCAGTGCCAGACGTGGTCACTCAGAACAAAACATAAAAGAAAATTAGTAACCATGAAAATAAGGTGTCTGAGAAAGACTGTAGGAGAGACCAGAAGAGATATAATCAGGAATAAGGTCATACGAGATAATGTCGGCACAGAACCAATTCTAAATTACATACAAAGACAGCAAATCAAATGGTTTGCTTACTTGGAGAGAATGCCTTCTGATGCTATACCATACAATGCAAAAATAAAAAGAGGAGAAGGATGTAGAGCAAGATGTAGACCAAGAACAAGATGGGAAGATAACATCAGGGAAACTCTACAGCACCACGATGTGTCTATGGTTGAAGCAGGACCTTATATTTCCCTTGACACCCGCAGCGGTAAAAGGGGACATAAAGAAAAAAGATGAAATATGATTCACCTTGGTGCAGCGTTAAATGTTGTTAATTTTTTGTGTTAGTTGTGGTCCTCTGCATTCAATAAATAGGATTCAAGATAATGTTGTAAAGTTTGTTTCATATTTATAATAGTCATTAGTATGTAATAAATATGATGCAGTGAGGTGCAGAGTTTGATGTTCTATATTTGTGATGGTCATTTGTGATTTTGTGACAATAATCTAAATCCAGAATTTTACAAAAAATTGTAAAATGGTTAAATATTGTGTCATTTTCAGGTTAAAGAACTTATTGCTGAGCTTGAAGAGGTGCGTGCCTTGAGGGAAAAATCTGGCCTTGACTCAGATAACATTACTCGGACACAAAGTAAACAGCTCACAGAGCATAAGATGACCATCAGGACATTGGAGGTAGAGCTGACATGTTTTTGTTATCACAATTGATCTCACGACACATTAGACTTTCCCATGCAGGCTGATTCCTCCAGTGTTACAGCTGCCCATGGTTTCCTCTACGGATTGTTCTTATGCAGAGTTGGTTATAGGTTGCCTGTCTTGACCTCGAGGACAGCACAGACATGCAGACCGGGCTTTACTTCCAGGTCACATAGTCGGGTTAGACTTTACATGCCTGAGTGTGTTGTTCCAGGAGAGGGAGGTGAGGTGCGACTTCAGAGTGGAGACTGCATGTTGCAGTTTTTTAAAAGCATGTTCTGATATGATCACTACATGTCAGCTTTCTGCTGACTGTGCAAGTGTTCCAGAGAAGGTGGTTATCTCCATGAGATGCTTGACATACTTGTCTGTTATATCCTCTGTTATTTTCTTTATCCTTTGTGCCACCTATGCCCAGTCTAACCTTAGCCTGTGCTTTGTGGATCCATCTGTATCAATGCATATCTTTTCAAAGATGTTAACTTTCAGGAGCTGTCTCTTGAACATACTCCTGGTTTTTGAGATTAGAGTGGTGGAGGAGCACTTCACTCTATACCTATAAAGATGGTTCCTAGTTGAGATAAAGGTCTCCCTACCTATGTATGACAATCAATTTTCCCTTCTCTTATGTGTGTTCTTTTTTTAATTACCCCTGAGAATCTGATCTTTTCATGGGTGGCAAGCCAACAAGGCAAATCCCATATACCCTATTCAAGCCCAAGGAAAAATATATTACAATTGTTGCACCCATATTAGCTACATTGGCTTGGGTAACCTGCGCCAACAATCAAAACACTCGCTCGCTCAACCGTCTGATAAGCCACTTGTGTCTCGACTCATCGCCCGCTAACTACCCATTCGTAGCCTGATTCTCGAAAGCTAGATACAGGACAATTACTCGCTTGATATTCGGCTGAGTTTGTCTCGACTACGCTATCGGGGTCGTCTGCGTTTGGGTTATTAGCAGCCTGAATACTCACCATTGTTGAAACGATTGTCTGGATACTGACTGGGGAGCAATCTTGGTGTCCTTTTTAGGATACTTAACAAGCCTTGCCGACCTGTCAGTTGAAAGCTTTCGCCAAGTACCTGATCTACCTGCACTGACAAGATGGGACGTGGCCGAGATAAAAACTGCCAGCAGAAACCTAACCAGAGCCAGCGCCGAGATACCAGATCTACATCGGCTAGCAAGGAGGTAGCACCTGTCGCACCAGCCCTTACGGTGCAGACAATGCCAGCACTGACTGACGTCCCGATCGAGACGCCAGCCTCACTTACCCAGACGCTGCCAGTTTCCGATGTAGCCCATGTCGAGGCATCATCACACTCAGAAGTCGCCCCATTCGTGGCGCAGGGACCCACCAACACCCGCCCACTCAGGCAGCAGCAGCGACCGGAAGCCCACACTGCAGAAGTTGTACAATGTTCACGCTGTAATAAGGCGTGGCACACAGCCGCAACTTGCCGCAGCAGCCCAGCATGTCGCTACTGCTCTAAGCCGCACGAATTCAAGGAGTGCCCCCTGGCTAAGGAGGACCCTGACTTCAAGAAACCCAACCGAAGCAGACGATGCTCAAACTGTGGAGGGACCCACAGCGCGAGGTACCTGGGTTGTCCGTACCTCAAGCAGATGAAGATGGCGATGACTAATGCCGGACCCAGACACCAACAGACGTACGAGGCACCCAGACCGGGCACCACAAAAAGCCAACCCACTCGCCCAGCCAAAAACAGAACACCAGAGAGGAAGGGGATTACCATCAGAGACCCTGAATTGATGAGCGCGATAACCGATCTGAAAGCAGAACTGCAGAAGGTGAAAGCTACCGCCGCCGCCGAGAAAGCAGAGACGCACGATTTAATCTCCCTGTTGCTAGGGAAGATTTAAACCCTGAGAGAGGAGAGATCCGCACAAACAAAACTGAACACCGAATATCTCAACCAAGCGAAAACAACGAAAGAAAACATCAATGCTCTATTCACCAGACTTGAAGCCGCCCAGATAGCAGACAAAAAGCGCCGACAGGAAGAAGGGGAGGAGAGAAGAAAGGAGCTGGCCGAGCTAACTAATGCACGAGAATCAACATACCAAGAAGTTGCCAAACTAGTGAAAGCAAATGCAGAGGCCGAAGCAGCCACACAAGCAGCAAAGTCAGAACGTGCCCTATTAGAGAAGGAGAGAAACGCCGCAAAGAAAACATCCATCAGCAGAGCTGACAAAAGTACTTACACAAACTTAAAACAACGAAGCACCAGGCACAGATGACTGAACCACCAGAAAGCAGAGACCAAGGCACAGAAACCTATAGCTCGGAACCAGAAGAAGAAGAATATGAGGATGAAACTGACCAGGAAGCCGGCGAGATAAAATCCGATGATGAGGACACAGAAACCATTCACATGGACGAACGAAGTCGAAAAGATGACGAACCTCCTCGAGACCACCAGGGAAGAGAGACGACAACTAGATGAAAAGATTGAAGAGAACAAAGAACTACTGGCACAGTTATCAGATGTATGGGCCAAACTAAAACCCTACCAGGTGGACGATGTCCAAGAAAGCACAGGCGAAACATCCTATAGATTTGTGAAAACCAAAGCCGAACTGGAAGCAGAAAAAGCACAATGGTGAACACCCAAAGGCAAGAGAGGTAGACGAGGAAACACCCACTACTGAGACAGCTGACAGCAACAAACCCAACTGTACCAGACCGCCATCTTTGTGGAACAAGCCAGCTCACCGACACAAAGAAACACAGCGAGCCAGCCAAACCAAACCTCAGCAGTCCCGCCCATTTTCCCGCACAATAGCCTACCCCGGCAACGTAACCGTTCTTTTCAGAACGGCTACCCCCCTCCCTGCCATGCCGAAGGACAACCTACCACCCGAACCACGCCAGATTAAGCCCAATACGAAGCAGACAAAGGAAAACAGCAACAACAACAGAACGCAGATGTGGCAACACATCACACTGAATTATCAAGAATAAACCGCAAAGAAACCCTGCCGACCAGATAGCCAACGCTCAGACAGGAGCCGGTTAAGCGTCGCCGCACTTTGAAATTTTTGTTTACAACAATCAAGATCAAGGTAACCTGCGTTCCTCTGTGGGTATAAAACCTAGTTATAGTCTGGAAGCGATAGTGATATCTGCAGTATTTAACCTCAAGTGCTTGTAATGCTGAATAATAACTCTGAAACCTGTCCTTAAAAAACTGTGTGTGTGTATATATATATATATATATTTGTGTGTGATTAATGAGTATATACGAGGGGAAATCAATAAGTAAGTCAAAATGGAAACAAAATGATGACTGTACTTACGGAATGTACCCTCAAAGAACAATGTGCTGTTGTGGGGTTTTGTGTGTGTGTGTGGGGGGGGGGGGGGTGCAGAAGGGCTGCCTGTAAAGGATATTCATTAGGAAATGCTTCCTGTTTATGCTGACAAATGTTTATCCCGTAAAGTGGTGCATAGCTGGGTAAAAAATAAATTAAGAGGTACGCTGTATGATTGTTGATGAAGCCTGTTGACTAGAGGAGTACTGCTCTTTCATGACAATGCCAGACCACATATGGCTCAGTTAACTCATGAGAAAATTACCCATCATGGGTAGGAACTTCTGGAACATCCACCTTACAGCCCCGACTTAGCACCTAGCGATTTCCACATTTTTGATTCACTGTAAAACTAACCTTGGGAGACATTTGCCGAATGATGATGCAGAAGTTGAATGTGAAGTGAACATTTGATTTAGAAACAAACATTTTTATGCAGCAGGTTTGGTAGGACTAATAAAATGATGGGACAAGTACATCATTGTTGGTGGAAATTACGTTGAAAAATAAAGGGACAGTGTATGTGTAAAAATAAATGGTTTTCAAGTTATTTCTTTAGTTTTTTTTTTTTTTTTTAACGACCATTTTTTTTACTGACTTATTGACTACAATGTTTTTTAGGGACATGTTATTGTTAAAACATTATTCATCTGAAACTAAAAAGTTGTTGAATGCAGTTTCGTAATCCAGACCAAATCCAGCATTCATTTAACTGTTATATGGGTTATTCAGGAAGTTTTAAGTTCAGTAGTTTGCCATTATGTTGTTGAAGATATGACTTTGACTTTTTCAAAATCAGCGCAATGCAGTTTTGGTTCCCAATCAGTTGCATATGACTTCTTATCCTGGAATGTTGGGATTTTTGAATTATGTTTACAAAGACAGGTCCTCGGTATGGTCATCAAGCCCAGAGTCCAACATCATGCAAGCTGTTCCGAACAGTTTGATCAGACACATGACGCCCTGGAGGCAATGCCTGTGCAGTTGAGGAAGCTGTTTTAAAACTGTCTCTGAGGTGACGACGCCGAATAAAGCAATTCTCCCCTACTGTTCTCACTCTGGGTTGTCCACTGCGTGTCGGTCTTCAACTAAACCAGTGGCTTTGACTTTCTTCTGCCTGCAATCGGCCAATAGCAATATTCCTTAAATTTATTGATAGAGGCGTCATTCATGACTGCTTGAAAATGAACTGATTGTTTTGGTGTAGTGTTATCCTTTTATAGGGTTTCAATTGCGTAGGCAGTAAATAGTGTTGACTGCAAATTGTGTTACTTTCTCACGCGCGAATCCTGAGCTATGCTCACAAATATGGTCTTAAATACGATTGACCACTGTGTTGTAACGATTACAAAAACCCACACAATTCATGCTCACATGTCCACTGGACATGGTAAACAACATTTGAGTCTGATTTTCACATACCCGAGTACAATATTTTATTTACAAACTAATAAAAACGCGCTGTCGGATAACTATGCGTTTCTTTTTTTGAACAGTATATAAACAGTAATAATGGACCCTTGTTACGCCATTGATACATCAGCATATGGCACTAGATCCATATTTCTATAGCCCAATCAGCACTCGATGAGTAATTAGGTCAGTATCCCTCTGGCCACCTTTACTTCCTAGGACAGGGCTATTGAACTGGTGGCCCTCAGGCCAAATCTGGCTCGGGTGGTCTAGTAGGTGGCCCTTGGATCATTGCCAGTTGAATTGTATTAATGATATTTTAATGCTGGGGTTCAGGCCATTGGCCCATGAGGATTACTATTTTCAAATCGCCCCCCCCCCCCCCTTTCCCCCCGAATAAACTTTGATGAATAGCTCTGTCCTAGGATATAACCCACTACTCAGTCTGGGCTCGGCAGACCTGGGAGCAGAGGTCATTTTATAAACTCCTCCTTGTTTGGGATGTGAAAACATGTGTTTTGCAATAAGAATTGTTGGTGTGCACTATTATTTATAATTATATGATTGTTCTGTTTTAGGCTGAACGAGAATCCTTAAAAAGACAGCTTGAGAATCTGCAGCGAGAGCTGGTTGCTATGGCAGCCGAGAACACAAGTCTCAAGGGAGATATTCATGAATTGGAAAAGAAGAATACCATATTGAAAGGCCATGCTGAGGAGGTTAACCACAGGTCAAAGGTTGATGTGTATGACCTGAAAATGGAAATGTTAAAGCAAAGGAGAGAAGTGGAAAAAGAAAGGGATATGCTGAAGAATATGGTAGAAGGTAAAAATTGATAATTCTTTTGTTTAAATAGTGAGGGTATATTTTGTAATCCTTCCCCTGCTCTTTTACTTTCTCCCCCTCTTCCTCCTCCTCGATCTAGCAGACATCTTTTGTAATGGATAGAACGAAGTGGGAGAATAAACTGCAAGCCTTATGTGACGTATAACAGCACATCTGGATGATGATGATGATGGCAGTGCCGTCATACGTCACATAAGGCTCATAGTCTATTCTTCCATTCCATTCTATCCGGTGAAGTCGTTTCAGTATGGATGGAGTCCAGTCCAGCACCTTTAGCCTCTTGCAGCAACATTCATTTTAGTGTTTCTGTTGGATGTCTTCGCTTCCTCAGTCTGTTTGTTTCCCAGTTAAGTACCTGTTTGGTGATTCGCTGTTCATTTCTCCGCAGGATGTGCCCAGTATATTACCATATCCTTTGTCTTATTTGATAACAGCGACTGTCCAGAGATTTCCTTTTGTTTCTTCACTTCTCTTGAATTCATTCCATTGAATCTTTATCAGTTTCATAGTCATTTGTTTCATATTCATTCTTCTTCTTCTTCTTCTTCTTTTTAACATTTACTGGCTGTAACCTCTGGTGGAAAGTTCTGGTTGTTCACCCACCTCTGCATTTTAGTCTTATTCCAGAACCTGAATGTTACCTGCACATATGTTTTATGGATCTGGCTTATTTGTGTGCAGACTGTTGGTTCCTCGCCTTTAAGGCAAATACACTCTGACTTCAAAGGAAATCTACGTTTACTCGACTCTTATGACATGCTTGTTGGGGAGCAGTGGGTCTCATCTTGTTTTCCCCACAATGGGGTCCTGGAACCCACACAGGGAAAACACATTCAGCTTTCATTCCTTAAACACAGACACATTAGTAATTTTTCAGCTAAATAGTCTTTCATCAATCAACAGAATAACAGACTTGACAAATATGACTGGCTAACAAAGGCAACACTTGTAAGATAGTATATCTGTTTACATGCTGTCGGCTTATGGGTAAGCATGATTGACCAAAGATGCTTGCCTTCAGATCAGAAGGTTGTGGGTTCGGGTTCTGATGGAACCGGACTTTTAAAAAACAGTGATCTTGACTCCCAGGTTGACCCATCCTTGAGTGTGTACTCAAGGTGCACCCATCAAGTACCGATTGATCTATAAAATTAAACTCTAGCCTTATATTCCCGATATGCTGGAAGGAATTGAAAGGGTCCTTTACTTTACTCTTTTTACTTATGATTGTCCATGCCAGTCAACAAGGCATTTGATGATGGTGATGTTTGTCTTTGTATCTCACAGAATTTCTAACATAGCCTAATTTTTAAAAAAAATGTTATAGGATGTTGCAGATGAATCCCAGCACTTGTTAGCTTTTGTGGCTTTCACATTCACTTGTTTGCCGTGCCATTGTTAGAGCCATTGCAAAGCATATTACTGCCAGATCACCTGCAGCTCAATCAAAACCTGTGTGTCAGAATTGTGAAAGTTCAGTTTAGGGTTTGTGAACTAAAATGGGTTAATAGAAAAGAACATTGAATACAATAAGAACTTATTTGTGGCATTCGTAGACCAGGAGAAGGCATTTGACAGAGTCGACAGACAATTATTATGGAAAATAATGGCAAGATATGGAGTAAGCGTCTTATCACCACTGCTGTTTATCACCTACATCGACAGTATATGCAAGAATGCCAAGCCCATGAATGAAGATCTTAGTAAGATCAACGAATAAATCTTTGCAGATGACCAGGCCTTGATAGCAGATACAGCCATGAAATTGCAACAACATCTAACATCCATGAATGAAGAATGTAAAACAAAAAAAATATGAGAATCAACACTGAAAAGTCAGAAGTAATGTCAATAGGAAAAAAGAAGACAGATCTAAACATAGCAATAGAATACAAAGGCATTAAACAGACATCTGTGTTTAAATATCTAGGAACTACATTTACCAAAGATGGGAAATTGGATAAAGAAATTGACATTAGATGCAGTAAAGCAAACCAAGTATTGGGACAGCTAGCCCCCCTCTTACAGCATAAGACAATCCCAATCAGCACAAAGAGATATCTTATTCAAAGCATATTTATTCCAACTCTGTGCTACCAGTGCCAGACATGGTCACTCACAACAAACCATAAAAGAAAATTAGTAACCACGGAAATGAGATGTCTGAGAAGGGCTGTAGGAGTGACCATAAGAGATAAGATCAGGAATGAGATCATAAAAGAACAAGTCGGCACAGAACCAATTCTGGATTACATACAAAGACAGCAAGTGAAATGGTTTGCCCACTTAGAGAGAATGCCTTGTGACACCATACCATACAAAGCATACATGGAAAGAGAAGAAGGACGTAGAGCACGGGGTAGACCAAGAACAAGATGGAAGTATAACATCAGAGAAACTCTACAACAGCACGATGTGCCTATGGTCGAGGCAGCCAGAATAGCTAGAAACAGAACCTTATATCTCCCTCGACACCCACAGCGGTAAAAGAGGAAGTGAAGAAGAAGAAGAAGAAGAACTAAAATGGACCTACAGTTCATATGCATGAATGAATTCCCTGTATGGGTTCCAGAGTTCCATTTTGGAGAACACAGAATTGACCTAATATACCCTCCAACTTTTAGAAGCATATTCTAGGAGGTGATAGGGGTTTTTCCTTCAGTGTTGATATGAATCAGCCTGAGAGACAAGAAACCAGCGGTCTTCCTACAAATTATCCAGATTTGTCAAGTGGATGTGCATGCAAAACTCAAGTTTTGGATCAAGACCAAAGTCCAGGAGTGGACAAAGAACCAGAACTTTCCACCAGGGGTTTCAGCCAATGAACGATGGGAAGAAGAAAAAGCTGTGCCTGAATAAATTATGATGACACAGAGCAGTTAGGATTTAAACGTGACTAAATAACAATATCACTCTCTATGAGTGGACACAGTCAGCAGTGCTTAACTCATCCTGTTAACTCGTTAGTCTAAAACTGTTTAGGATCCCTAATCGGGTAATATGAAACAATTTTGCAGTCTTTGTTTAGAGCCATGAAATCTGTAGCTTCAGAGTTGTGAACTGTCATGGACTCTCAGTCCAGGTGTTTGCAGGACTTATAAGCAGTACTAATCTTGTCCAGTCCATCACTTTTACTAATATATGATGGGCTGTAGCTATGTTTGTCACCTTTACACTTTTAACTCCTAACTAGTTTATGTCACTGTCTTTCATTCATGCACTGTAGGTCTATAACAGTTCATAATCTCATAGATGACTAGGTTTTAAATGAAGATTATGCAGAATTGTGAGCACACTAGCAAGTTAAAGATACTAAATAGTTTCATTCTTTAATGATCTTTTCAAAAGACAACATCTATACAATTTTTATTTCTGCTGTAAACAGATTTGAAAAGCCAGTTGGATATTGCCGATTCCAAGGTGGGAAAACTGCAGCAGATGCTTGAGGATAAGGAAAGAGAGATAGTTCATCGAGTACAGGCAGCTCATGAAGAGGAGTTTTCTAAGATGACTAAAGTAGAGAGTGAGAAGTAAGTTCAAAATGAAAATTTTTATGCGTAGTTTTACCTGATGAGAAAGTGCAGCTTGCAGGTTTAATACTGTGGCAGGGCAGACTAGGTCCTTATCTTGTAGGAAAGCTCTGACAGGCGTACAGAACACCTGCTTTTATGATCTGCCAGCTTCTCAGCATGTTTTTTTGTTTCCATAAAACATATTGTTGTGTATGTGAGTTGAGTTATGAGTTAGATTATCTTCACAGCACTCCAGACACATCTATAGGCGCTCAGATTCCCCTCTCAACATATTCATCAGCGTCGTGCGGTTAATAGTGCCAGTCCTATGTTGATTAACAAGACTTCGTGTGTGTCCGGTATGCTTCTCATGCTGTGCCAATCTTAACTCCCAGTTCTCGTATTCTTAGCAATGATGTGGACACGTTGCTTCCAACGTTGCTTCCAAAATCCTCAGAATGTCCTACATCTCTAAGGGCAATGACAATGTCTGCGTGATCCATAGGCCGGCCAACTTCCATTAATAACAAATTGGTGTCACCTTTTCCTGGCAGTAAGCAGCAGCTGAGAGGGGAATCATGTGGACATGGGCAACACATTCTTCATTCTTCATTTTTGAGATCATCTTCATGGCACATTGGACATGACCATAAGTGCTCCAGTCTTCTGAGCATGTCTGCAAGTGTTTTTAGGCTAACAATTTCCCTTCTGTTTTAGTTGATGTAACGACAGGTGGCTCCTGCATGGTTTTACTGTCTCGCCACTCCAATTGGTGTACGCAGGGCAACACATGACCTGTACAATCATATCCATGCTTTGGTCTTTGGAGGAGAGGAGCTGCATCCCTGACTTTAGTTGATGCCATCATGGACTGGGATTCTCACGCCTTCTTTAGCACAGTGCAGCACTATCATCTTAAATAACGGAAAGGTGCTAGCACCAATTATGACTGTATTCGGGCCATTGGCCATTAAGTTAACCATATGTTTTGATTCCTCCCCACCACAAAAAATGGTTGACATATTCCATTTCTGGGGACACTTTTATCGAGTTTGCTATCTAGACAGTTGCAATCCCCTGCTGATGAGATTTTGTCTTCCCAGATAGTGGGCTGCCGCGACAAAACTTTCAGTCATTTTTCGGTTTAGATTTAACATAAACACACTACACACTTCTTCTTCTTCTTATTCTTTACTTCCTCTTGTACCGCTGTGGGTGTCGAGGGAGATATAAGGTTCTGTTTCTGGCTCTTCTGGCCGCCTTGACCATAGGCACATCGTGCTGTTGTAGAGCTTCTCTGATGTTATCCTTCCATATTGTTCTTGGTCTACCTCTTGCTCTACGACCTTCTTCTCTTTCCATGTATGCTTTGTATGGTATGGTGTCACAAGGCATTCTCTCTAAGTGGGCAAACCATTCCACTTGCTGTCTTTGTATGTAATTTAGAATTGGTTCTGTGCTGACTTTTTCTCTTATGATCTCATTCCTGATCTTATCTCTTATGGTCACTCCTACAGCCCTTCTCAGACATCTTATTTCCATGGTTACTAATTTTCTTTTATGGTTTGTTGTGAGTGACCATGTCTGGCACTGGTAGCACAGAGTTGGAATAAATATGCTTTGAATAAGATGTTCCTTTGTGCTGATTGGGATTGTCTTATGCTGTAAGAGGGGGGGCTAGCTGTCCCAATACTTGGTTTGCTTTACTGCATCTAATGTTAATTTCTTTATCCAATTTCCCATCTTCGGTAAATGTAGTTCCCAGATATTTAAACTCAGATGCCTGTTTAATGCCTTTGTTCTCTATTGCTATGTTTATTGTCTTCTTGTTATTGTCTTCTTTTTTTCCTATTGACATTACTTCTGTCTTTTCAGTGTTGATTCTCTTATTTGTTTTTCATTCTTCATTCATGGATGTTGGATGTTGTTGCAATTTCATGGCTGTATCTGCTATCAAGGCCTGGTCATCTGCAAAGAGTAATTCGTTGATCTTACTAACATTTTCATTCATGGGCTTGGCATTCTTGCATATACTGTCGATGTAGGTGATAAACAGCAGTGGTGATAAGACACACCCCTGTCTTACTCCAGATGTTACTGTGAATGGATGAGAAGTTCCCTGATTTATTCTAACTACACTTCTACAATCCCTGTATAAACTTTTGCACACTTCAATGAGGTGTTCGCTTACTCCATATCTTGCCATTACTTTCCATAATAATTGTCTGTCCACTCTGTCAAATGCCATCAAAAGCAAAAGTAGCTGCATTAGACCATGTATCTTTCTGTGGCCGGTAACTACCCAAACCTTTTGGTAACAGGCCTTCCCTTTCCAAAATCATTTGAAGTTTAACAGCAGTAATCTTCTCTAGCACCTTGCCAAGGGCATTTTTAGGGTGATAATCCTGAAACCGCTGTCTGGAATTATCTTTGCCTAGTTTTGGAAGGGGGATGAGGTAGCTGTGTACCCAGCCCTTGAGTACTGACTCTGTTCTGACGCTCTGTTTGAAGTGAAATGACATCTCTCTCAAGTCTTCATCACTCATGCTCTTCATGTTGGCATACCTCACTCCATCTGGCCCTGACGCAGTGTCTTTTGCTTTTTGCAATACATATTTTATATCCTCCACCCTAATTATATCCTGAAAATAATTATCATTTATAGTATTAGACAGATTATCTCTAACTGAATTTCTAAGTTCCCTATCATTATGACCAGTTTGGGTTATAAATCTCTTCAAAAATGCTTCCCCTTTCTCTTTGTCTGTTGGATACCATTATCAATGTATATAAACCTTGTTGTGATAGGCCGATCCTTCCTTTGCATCTGTCTGTGCAGTTTCCAAAACCTACCCAGTGATTTATCCCCTCCAATTTTGCTCATAAAATGTTCCCATTTAGCCTTTTTTGCATCTGCTGCACAACGCTTGAACTCTTCTACTTTTTCTTTTCTAACTTTTTCTAGCTTCTCCACATCCTCTTGCAACATGTGAGGTGTCTTTCACATTTTCTGTAATTGTTTAACTGCTGCTCGCTTTGCTCTTCGTGCCTTTTCTACTTCCTGGGTCCACCTTGGAGGCTACACAAAAGCAGAGATGCTGGTTCGGTTGCATACCATCTGTCGAAGGCGTCCAGGAAGGGTACTGTCGCTCTCATACTTAAAAGTCTTGCACGTTCTCACAGCCCTAACCTTGCTAGCTTTAGAAATCAAGACTGAGCATGGCATATGGTCACTTCCATAATCGCCTAGGACACTACATTTTGTTTTCAGCACTGCTGACTGGGTAACAAAAGCCAAATCAATAGCTATGTCTGCATCAGAAGGTCTCGTTGCCATTCTTGTGTGGCCTACCATCGTTTATACAGACTACGTCTGCATCCATCATAGCTTCTGCTATAGCATTTCTTTGTCTATTTTCCCTGGTACTGTTCCATGATCTGTTCAATGCATTGAAATCCCCACAAATGAGAAGCCTATTACCAGGGATTTCCTGCAACTCGTTGAGCCAGTCCCAATGGTTCTGTGTGACAGGAGAGTCAACCACAGCGTGAACATTTACTATATTCCAGGTTGTGCCCCTATTATCTATCTGTATACCCTGAACCTCCAGTGTACTATGATTTCACTGGCCCACATGTTTCACCCCAATCTTCACCAGCAGACATTCACCATGCCTTCCCTGTCCAGTACAATTTATATAACTAATGTATCCAGGACACTCATATCTATCTATATTTAATTCCTGCAGCATGATGATGTCAAAATCATAAATCAGTCTCTCCAATACAGGTCCTCTGCTTGGCACTACGACTATTCCAGTAACCCACTCTTTGCTTTAATCCCAAACGCTCCATTTTTCGCCTGACTCTTTGGGCTCCGGCTCTTCTATTTCGATGCCTTCTTCTTTTTCCATTTCCTCGACTTCTCTTCTCACTCCTCTCAGTGGCCACCTGAAGATAGTATCAAGCACAGAGCACGCACTCCATAGCTCCGGCAATGATTCTTTTTATTATTAAGTACAAAATCCATAGAAGGTATTCTTTCAGTGCAGGAAGAAAACGGTCATCCTAGTATTGCCTGCTTGATAGGGAAGAGGCAGGTGATGTCCTAAAAGAGTCCATACTCCTGGCGCCACCCTACTCGCTAACCAGACGTTCCACATTCACGACTGTATATCCTTCAGTCATTCAGAAAATAGGCATGTAGGTACACTGTAGACTTAGTTTTTTTAAAAATCGAGGATGTCTCCTCTAAATCTGTTGTATTTTGTGCCTCTTCGGTCACATACAACGGTCTTGATTGCCTAGGAATTATGTATGGTACAATGTGGTATTATTTCTCATTTCCACATGTACACACATCTATGTATAAAATGTTCATAGTTCCAATTGTATTGTTTCTCATTTCCACATGTACACACATCTATGTGTAAAATGTTCATAGTTCCAATGGTATTGTTTCTAATTTCCACATGTACACACATCTGCATGTCAAGTGTTCACGGTGCCAGTGGTATTGTTTCTCATTTCCACATGTACACACATCTATGTGTAAAATGTTCATAGTTCCAATTGTATTGTTTCTCATTTCCACATATACACACATCTATGTGTAAAATGTTCATAGTTCCAATTGTATTGTTTCTCATTTCCACATGTACACACATCTATGTGTAAAATGTTCATAGTTCCAATGGTATTGTTTCTCATTTCCACATGTACACACATCTGCATGTCAAGTGTTCACGGTGCCAGTGGTATTGTTTCTCATTTCCACATATACACACATCTATGTGTAAAATGTTCATGGTTCCAATGGTATTGTTTCTCATTTCCACAAATACGCATATTTGCATGACAGATAGACCTACTTCCCCCCAACTCTTTGAGCCACAGGGTGTTTATCATCAGAGGCCCAAGGGGGTAGTCAAGAGAGACGTAAAATTGGCACATCTTGCTTTCATTGGGCTTCTAGGTAGGAACGTATGAATGTATGTTGCGTCAGGACTGTAGAGTTAACAAGCATGTTGTATAAGATGACTAATTAGGACTCTGCTGATGTTGGTTGTGTCAAAGCTGAAAGGCGCAGATATTGCAGCCTAGCTGTAAGCTGTAACACAGAACATGCCAACTGCCTTTTTACGGGTGAATGCAGAAGAGGAAGAAGAAGAAAAGTCAGATGATAAAGAGAAGAAAAAGTTGAAGAACAAGAAGAAGAAAAACGAAAACAATTAAAATCAATGTTTCCCCATTGTAAATTTAAATAAGGTGGATACAAACAGTACATTGTACAATTTATTGCCTGGCATATTTCACGGTGTCACGCCAGGTGTGTTACTACAGTTACATCAACACATAATGAAGCACAAAATTCTACAAAAAAAGGTCATTGGCATTAGTTGAGGGCCTCTGTTTCACTGGGGGTAGGGGGGGGGGGGGTTAAGAGCCACAAGAGTAACAGTCATGCAGGACATGTTCCACCATTTATTTTGTCCCCAAAGATTCTTTTTCTTCTTCCTAAAGTACATGCTGTGTAGCGTTGGAAGTCATGACTATCCACAACCTTCTGTCTTGTGTACTTTCAAACAACTCTGACACAGACAGTCTTCGATTCCATGATGTCATACTGTCCAGCATCTTTTCTCTCGGTCTGCCTCTGCCTCTCTTCCCTTTAAAGTTTCCAACTATCATGATGTGCTCCAGTTATCTCCTTCTAATGACATGACCAAAGAATGTAGATTGTCTCTTTCTGATGTGGTCAGTCAGTTCTCGAGAGCCAGTTTCTTTCAAGACATCTTCATTACTCTTGTTATCTGTCCAGGGTGTTCTCGTTATGTGTCCATTAAACCACATCTCTGCAGCTTACAAATAATTTTTCTCTAATCAACCAACTGTCCATGATTCTCTTTGGTATATCAGGATAAGATTCATATAGCTTTTAAGAATTATCTTTCTTGTCTCCATTGTCAAAGAAAGATTGCATAGAATGTACTTCATTTTTGTCAAATGCTGCCTTTGCCTGAGCTATTCTACATTTAACTTCTTTAAAACATCTTCCATCAGTTTATCAAGGTACCCACATACTTAAACATATCAGCTTGCTTAGGGATTGTCCCATTTATTGATTCCCAAGATGCATCTCTGTAAATCCAGTTCTTATCTTGTTAAATACACATGTCTCCTGTTGTTTTCTTTTAAACACTGATGACATTTGTTAAAACAGGTTTGAACTTGAAACCAAACTACAAGAACTTGAAAGACGGCGTATTGATGATGACAGCCGCCATCACAAGAACTGGAAAAAAACGAGGAGAGGCTTAATCAAGCAAATGCAGCCAGAGAAGAGGCAGAGCGAGAGCTGTTTGTCATCCGGTAAAGTATCTTTTACATTGTATTCATGTTAACTTTTGCAGTGGCGGCAGAAGCCCCACAAAAACAGTCACCAACTGGAAAAAGAGGCTTATCACAGAGATGAAATAGACTTGGTGATTTCTGCAGCAGTAAACTTTAAGGCCCCAGAATGCTGAAGAATAAATATTATTTATAAGCAGTCAATAAAACGAATGCAGTATAGAATCAATTGGCTTGTGAGAAGGGAGAATGGCCTAGAGAATGGAGGATGGAAGAGTCCCTAAGGACATCCTCTATGGTGAATTAAAGATGGGTAGAAGATGTCGAGGCCGACCTCTGCTAAAATATAAAAACGTGTGCCAGCGGGACATGAATGATACAGGTATTGAGGTGGACTTCGTAGGAACAAAATGCCATGGACCTTGTTGTGAATCAACTGGCTTACATTTCTTGGGGCCTGTAAACTAATTACAACATGACACTTACTTGAACTTACTGTGACCTGATCCCCCCTTATCCACTGTAGTGGGCTAGGAAAAATATGACATTGGAATTTCTATAAATAAAGCTGTTTTTGTTTTAAACGAGGAAACCTCCATAAATGCAATTTTTAAAGTAAATTTAGTAATCCCCTGTCACTTTGACCATTTACGCAGATACAGATACTGTTACATTTTTTAAAGCTAGACTTTCATTATGGCAAATGGTATAGCAAATCCAAATGGCTTTTATTGGAAATGATGGAAAAGTGGGGGTTTGGGGGGGGGGGGGGTTTACAGTGAAAAAAAAAAAAAATTGACATATATTAACTGGTACTCTTTTAAAAAAAATGTAAGTAGAGAACCAGCAGGATACACTGGATACATAACAGTCCTCTTCAGAAAGTTGAGAAAAGTGTACTTTGTAAAAAGTAACTACAACACATGATGTGTTCTTTGGTACCTAAAGAGTTACAAATAAAATTATAATTGCTCAGAGACCATTATTTTTTTTTATAGATTTCTTTTGCTGATCCTCTCTCAGCTGTAAAAAGGGTTTTTATTATTCTATAAAAGGGTGAGTGGCAGATTTGTTGTTTACATCTAAGCTTTGATATCTGTGGCTTTCTGACTAATACATCCTGTTTGAGCAACTGTTTGTCTCTTTCTGACATGGGCAGTCAGTTCTCTTCGTGACTTAGTTTCTTTCAAGACATCTTCATTACTCCTTTTTAGTATGTTGTCTTTAATGACAGGCTTTTTAGGCAAGCAGTGAATCTAGTTTTAAAACTTAAACTTGGTAGTCTAACAGACTTCTCAATGCTCAGTCTTCGAAGGCTGAGGTGACTGGGTCACCCCTGGAGAATGTAGGATGGAAGAGTCCCTCAGGACATCCTCTATGGTGAATTAAAGATGGGTAAAAGATGTTGAGGCTGATCTCTGCTAGTGTATAAAGATGTGTGCAAGCGGGACATGAATGATACAAAGTGGAAACATAGTGCCATGTTGAAAGAAGAAATGATTGTAGAAAGGATGAGAGCTGAGCGTCTGAGAAGAAACAGACTAAACACACATGTTTACAACAACAGTCCTGAAATCCCATGCTGTAATTGTGGAAGACTTTTCTTAATGCAGGCAGGTCTTGCTAGTCACACTCGCCATTGCCATGGGCTGTGAATCCCATGCCTCCTCATAGCCCAATTTATACTATTGTCTGGAAAGACCGAAAGGTGCCGATCAATCAGTCATCAGTAATCTAACATAACATGCCTAGTATAATTGAATATTTTTGTTTAACTTAGCTGTCCTCTAACCGAGTAACACAACACGGCATACCTAGTATAGTGAATATTTTCGGTACTCTAAGTATTCCAAGTAACATGGAGTAACTACCTAAATTTAAACTGAGGAGCATCAGTGAATAAACAAATGATCACACTTGGTTTTAAAGAGTTAACAATATGGGTTCGCAGGCCTCCTTAACATTGTGCCCTTCAGATATGACACAGCAATACCATGTCTTGTTTATGGAAATATTTTCAAAACTCTAAGTACTTCTAAGTAACATGGAGTAATTACTTAAACTTAAAGTGAGGAGCATGAATGAATGAGTAAATGAACACACTTGTTTTTAAAGAGTTAACATTAGGGTACACAGGCCTGCTTAACATTGTGCCCTTAAGATATGTCTCAGCAAAAACAGGTCTTGAATATGGGAATATTTTCAGTACTCGCCTAAGTCACATGGAGAACTTGCAGTCTGAGCTGGAGAGAGAACGATCAGAAAACTCCAGTCTGAAGACACAAGTCCATAGACTGGAATCAGAACTGATGAGTTTTCGTGGTGCTGAGAATGAACTGGCTGACTCCAATATACGTCTGAAGAACTAACATGGAACAACTGAGAGAGGAACTCAAGATGGCTGTCTCACAGCTAGACAAACTCAGGAATGAACAGGAGGTAACGAGTTTTTTTTTCATAACTGAAGACATTCAGTTCTTTTTTTTGTCATAGTTTATCTCCAGGGATAGAAAGAAGAAAAAAAAGTACTGACATCCTAACAAATCTGAACATCAAGGAAGATTGGCTAGTAAACAGCATCTGATCCATGAAGCTGAAATATTCTGGCCATATCAAATGCCATGGTGGATTTGAAGAAGAAAAAAAACTAACTAGCAAAAGAATGGTACCAAAAGGAGGGGCAGGGGCCATCCAGCATGAAGATGGGCACAAGGGATACATGACTCCATGGATATAATGGTGCACAAGGAGGGAGAGCTGGCGAGAGACTTGAGTTCTTTTAGGCAGACCGTGATAAGAGCGATATCCTGCACTACAGAACAGCTGGCCCCCTACCAAGAGCATCACATCGAAGAATGAACTCCATAGCTCCAGTGACATTTCCCAGGGACCTTTGTAAAAATCACACTCATGAACCAAACAACACAGTCTAAAAATAAACCCTAGGCCAGGGCTATTCAAATACGTTCACATTGGGGCCAGACTGCTAAACAACCACAGGGTACACATGGCTGCCCTACAAGAAACCCTGCATAAAGACTCTGATCTGCATCTCACTGGATATTCTAGTTATGCCTGTAAGTGCAATGACTGCCGGGGCATAGTGACCTGTATCAGAAATGACATACAAGGAGATGTAACAATGCTATCGACATCTCACCCTACAGATGTGCAAAAAATAACTATAAGACACAATGGAAGCAAATATATGATATACCCACCTCAGAAAACATACAACATACCAGAACTATACAAGACACATTACCATAAAACCCATCTTGTTGGTGACTTCAACGGACACTCACCACGTTGGGGTTACCCTGACTACAATAACACAGGAAAATATATCGAAGATACTTGTGAAACAACTAACCAATTAGTGCTGCAGGACACAGAGTCTACACCTACTCTGTTACACAGGGCCCACCTATCTCTCAGCCGACCTGATCTGACCATCTGCTCATCCAATTTAGCAGACGCAAGTTATCCACAAGTCCTGGACGATATAGGAAGTGACCACAAACCTATACTTAAAACTGTAAGCACCACCGCTAAATTACGCTTCAAGCAGAGAACCCATTGGAATTTCCTAAAAGCAAACTGGAAACTATTTCAGGAAACATCTGACTGCCTCCTGGGAAGAATTGACAACAGCTGTGTGGAAATGTTTTGTGAAGATATAACAGAAGCAATCCTGAATGCAGCATTGAAAGCAATCCCTAGGAGCAGCCGGAAGGCATCTAAACCTTTCTGGAATAAAGAAATTCAAAATACTGTATCTGAAAGGAATAAAGCAAGAATATTGCTCGAAACTGCACGTTCAACAGAAGCAAAGATCCAACACAATAAAGCATGTGCCAGAGTAAAGCTTGTAGTTAATAAGGCTAAAAGAGATAAATGGACAGAGACTTGCTCCAACTTAGACCGTAGACAGAATGGAAATAAAGCATGGACTTTAGTTAAAAACCTCTCCGGAGAAAGTAGAAGGGTGAACCCAAAACCAGCGACAGATGGGAGTAAGACAATCACTGGAGACAAGAAGAAAGCAGAACATTTCAATCATTATTTTGCCTCGGTTAACAGAGCAAGTAAGCTGTCAGAACTTGATAGAACACAGCTCTCTCAGTTGAAGAAACAAGAGAGAGCTCCAACAGCCAGCGACTCCCTTTTTGAAGATGAATTTAGCATGGATGAATTAGAACAAGCCCTGAAGAAATTAAAACCTAGAAAATCCCCAGGCCCAGATAAGATCCACAACAAAATGCTGCTACATCTTGGCCAGTCTGGGAGAGAAGTAGTTCTCAGGCTTATTAATAAAACTTGGAGGTCAAGCAAACTTCCAAAGGCATGGAGGAATGCATACATCGTCCCCATTCTTAAAACCAAAAAGCCTCTAGACAACCCCAAAAGCTACCGCCTGATATCCTTAACATCATGCTTGGGCAAAGTTGCAGAAAGAATGATAAACAGACGCTTGTATTGGTTCCTAGAGAGTTCTGGTGTTCTATACCATGAACAAGCAGGCTTCAGAACCAACAGCTATACAGAAGACCAGATGTTCAGACTGACACAAAGAATACATGATGGCTTCCAGAATAAGAAACACACAGTGGCCGTCTTTGTCAACCTCCAGCAGGCCTATGACAGAGTATGGAGAAAAGGTCTCCTGATGAAGATGATGAGCAGATTGTATAACTGGGTGAAATACTTTCTGATAGATAGAACAATTCAGACTAAAAAAATGCACAACACAATCTCTTCTAAAGAAGTCTTGGAGGAGGGCTTGCCACAAGGCTCATCATTGAGCTGTACACTGTTCCTAATCTTTATCAATGACCTGCCAGAACAAATCAAGGCCGAAAAAGCATTGTACGCTGATGACCTAGCAATATGGCAGAGTCATGAAAATGTGGAAAGTGGAGCCCAAAGACTAAATGGAGACCTTAGAAGACTGCATGAGTACTGCCAAAGATGGAAACTCAAGGTTAACTGTGCAAAGACAGTCTACACTGTCTTTACCAAAAGCCATCAAGTAGCATGGAAGAATATTAACCTGAGGTTAGACAAACACCAAGTGATAAAAGAAGAGCATCCTACATACCTTGGAGTCACACGGCAGCTCAACCTCACGAATCATATTGAAAACGTCAGGAATAAGGCATTGAGGCGGTTACAGATATTAAAGAGACTTTCAGGTACATCATGGGGATCAGACAAGGAAACTCTGAGGGGCTTATATATAGGATATGTTCGCTCTGTAATAGAGTACAACAACTCACTGCTTACAACCTGCTCCAAAGCTAACCTAGAGACTCTTGACAGAGTACAAAATAATGCCCTCCAATTAATCTGGGGAGCTATGCAGTCTACACCAACTGCTGCATGTGAAATCTATACATATGTGAAACCCCTCGGGTTATGGAGAGAAAAAGCCACTTTAGAAATTTATGAAAGAAGCGTTAGAAAGAATCGTAACCATCCTAATAGACACCTTGTAGAAAACTGGGAATACAAGCAAAGAACAAAGCACAAATCGGTTTTACACTGTGTTAATGAAATTCAGGACAGATACAACTCCCAGAAAGACATCAAGGCATTCAGAATGTTGCAAGAAACCTACCACCACATGCTCGCTTTAAAACTCCAGAAGTCCTAATTAAATTGGTACGCGAGGAAACCAAACAGTCTGACCCAATCGCTCTTATGAACTCATCACTAAAGACCATTGATTCTTACCCCCAAGAATGGATACATGTTTTATACTGATGGATCTGCATTTAAAGCTACCAATAAAGCAGGTTACGGAATCTACATAGGTTATCCCGATGGATCTGCTGAAGAGATTTTTGATGCATGCTGGGAATTCTGTTAAAATTATGAAGCTAAAATAATTGCACAGGAAACAGCAGTATACCACCTAAAGACTGTAATGGATGTTTACCCTTCAAAGGCCCAAAATATTGTCATCTTCACAGATTTAATGTCTGCCCTTCAAGCTCTGGAGGGCAGTGAACGCTGCAGAACTGACATAACCAAGATAATCCTGGATGCTGATCAGCTTATTACCTCATACAACATCAAAATAGTGATGCAGTGGATTCCAGGCCACTCCGGCACACCAGGTAATGACAGAGCTGACAGATTGGCAAAGAAAGGAGCAACACAAGAACATCCACCTACAGCGACAACCCTACAGAGAGCAAAAACACTTACAAGAGCTATAAACAAAGAGACTTGGTTGAACAGATGGGCCATGGGAGACACTGGAAGAGAGGTTTATAGATACATGGCTGGCCCTGATCCTAATGACAGCATTACCATCTAACAAGAAGGGACCAGGCCACCATCTTCAGACTTAGAACGCAACATACTCCACTCAATGGACATCTAAACAGAATACAGCCACAACACTCCCCAGAGTGCCAGCTATGTAACTACCCCTATGAAATTGTTTAACATTATCTCTTTGAGTGCCCAAAACTCAGCGAGACTAGAAGAATGCTACTCCCTCCGAGACCAGACAAGTGGAACACCTTGTACGGAGGAAAAGAACAGCTTGTGAAAACATGCAAATTCCACTACATGGCATTGGGCCAAAGGGCCAAAGCTCATGCGCCGCTGGATCGATAACAACAACAACTCAGGGGCCACAATTTTAAAAATGGGGAACGTCACGGGCCAGAGGCTTGAGCCCCAGCATAGAAATATCATTAATACGGTACAACTGGCGGTGATCCACGGGCCACTTGCTGTGCCTCTATGGGCCAGATTTTGCCCGCAGGCCGCCAGTTAAATAGCCCTGCCCTAGGCCTTCAGAGCATGAGGCAGTTGGCTTGACCACTTTGCCAGAGTGATTCCTCGCGAGTGCTTTATCTACAGGCATGCAGCAAAAAAAGGGAAGCCTCCATGGCGTAGTGACTAGATGTGCACCTACGGATTAGAAGGTCATGTGCTTGGGTCCTGGCAGAGCCTGACTTAATTCAAAAATGACCTTGGCTCCCAAGTTGACCCAGCCTTGCCTGGGTACCAGGTACAGTCCTGTAAGTAAAGGGGGCCTGCTTGATACTGAGCACATCACCCTCCAAATGCTGACTGGTCTGTAAAATGCAGGTCCAGCCTGATACGCTTGAAGGCGTGGAAAAGGGTCCTTTATGTGGTAAATGGGAACTAATAAGGGACTTTCCCAAACTGGGCATGCTGGACTTGAAGGCACAGATATTGCAGCCTGGCTTTTAACCATGACACAGCCGTCCTTTTGAGGGTGGATGCAGAAACATAAGAAACAGTGATGTCTTTAAGAATCTTCTTCTTCTTCTGCCTTTCTAGCCCCCAATGGAGCATAGGCCCTCAACCAACACGCCAGGTTGTTCTATCCTATGCTATTGCATTCAGCTCTTCCCATGTCCTCCCCATCTTTCTAACTTCATTCTCCAGCTCCC